TGCTCAGTGCTGCGACCCAAGGCCTCACTTGCAAAAGATCCAGTTTGCTCAGCAGGCCTTCAGCCTAGCCTTGCGAGCCTGCAAGCCCGCAAGACAGGAAGACAGACAATCTTTTTCACCGCGCTTGGCTGCCGTCAAATCCTTTACGCAGTGAGTTGAAACAGCAGGGCCTTAGGCCGAGCATGGACCGAAAACATAACTGAATCCCGCGCAACTCTTTTTGGATATCATATCCGCAACTGCCAAAGGCCGCAGGCCCCAAGAACGGACTGAGCCGCTTTATTTGCACCGGTTGGATGCTGCAGGATTCCCGAGCATCGAATTCGCAACTGCTAGAGTGACTTCACACTGCATTTTTAAAATGCGTACCATACATTCCTTGGACAGCAATCGGCAATTGGGAGGGTCCTGCAAACCTGTGGATCGGTACTCCTGAACTTCTCGCAACATGTCGAACTCCCTGCAACTGCTTCTTCTGTGACAGCATCATTCTGCCAAGGCACTGCCTCTTTCATGCGGCCTGTGCATTGCGATTTCTACATGGGGTCGAGAATCGGTATGCAAACAGCCTTTGCCATGCGGCCGGTTGGTTTGGACACCCCACATGTGCGTCCACTGCCGACACGCCCGAACTGGCCTGTCCATTCCACTGGGGGAACTGCCTTTTCAAGGCACGGCCTTAAAGAAGGTAGGACAGGGGGTTAGCGGAGCACCACACAGCATGCGAACAAGACCTGTGCTCTCGAAACCAAGGGCCGCACCGACAATTGTGAGCTTGATCGCCACCAACACAATTCCTGCCTCAGCATGCAAACATTCATACTCACCCCTATCGCAGCGGTGCTCGCTGAAGATATTACATCTCAGAGAGCTGCAGCCAGAAAGAGGTAAGCCGGGGATGGCGCATAAAAGGATCCAATCGCCGTGATCCTTCCTAATGTCGTCGTAGGATATTCGTCTCCTTCAAGTTGTGATAAACTGCATCAACACAAGTGCCAGTCCTCCGTCACAGTCTTTGCCACCGAGCCGCCGTAACCAACAGTCGTAGCCTTGGTCCAGGTGCGCCGGTCCGGAGAGAAACACAGCATTCAAAGAGTACCAGCGGCCGGGTGGCAGTAACAAAGAACCACCAGAAGCAATGGGAGATAGAAGTGAACGGGGTTGGCTCCACACCTGGGATGCAAAACTCTGGTGTGGGCCACTGCACTCGTTGCATGTCTATGTCTGTGTCATTATGTAGCCTGCCTGACATCGGAGCTTGAATAACTCAGGACTAAGAGTCCTCTGCGACAACCTACGTATATACTCGAACACTCTGTCACTCTCTCCACTTCGGTTCAGGCCAAGAGTCCATATCCATATTTCCTTGGTCGTCACTCTTACAGCCACTGTTCCGGGACATGCTCTGAGAGTCGCCTTTGCAAAGCTTTCCGAGCGTTGCTACATATTGCATGGACACGCTGTGACCTTTTGCCATCCAAGGTCGTCGGCCTGACGTAGACCCCAAGCGGGTACTCATCCGGGAAGGCGCTGACAGAATACTCCCTGACAGTGCTCGGAAAGCTTGAACGCCGGATGCTTCGCAGCAGAGCGTGCACTTTTTCATCCAGGCAAGGGACGTCCCCTCGGCGATCCAGAGGCTGGAGGAAAAGAGAATGCATACAATGCTCGTCAAGGAGAACACGGACAGAATTCCAGGCAACGAGTCCCTTCAGGGTCGCGGGACATCTCCGAACAAGCGCAGTCAAGTGGAAACTGGCATGTAAAATCTGGCAGAACAAGCTCGTGCAACCGGGCCCGACGATGTTGATGATCATTTCCACGCCTCCGCCACCGCTGGGGCTTCAAAGCTCCGGCTGCAGGGCGTTTGCTGCACACAGTCACTGGGGCAGCGACCGTCTCGCAGCTTTGGGGATTTCAGTAAGCGAAACCTGAGAGCAGCACTTCCCAAAGAACTGCTGCCCATTTTCTAGTAGCTTTGCTCAAAACAGGATGGACTGCCCCGCGCGAACTGTATGCAGGACCCGGAGATCCTCTTGCATGGAGAATCTTCAGGCTGCAGTCAACTTTCCAATTCAACACGTCGATCTCGGCACACGGATGTAGGTTGATATCTTCCAGACAAGCAGCACCCTCACCAGTCGCAGCACTCGAAGCGCGGCGGTGCTTCCCTGATACAAGCCGCCTCAGACAGATCAAAGGACTGTCGGATACTGTCGGCATTCCGATCGGATGGTGGCAAGCGAAAGTGACCGAAGGCGGTGGCATGTCAAAGGTTCCCTTCATCCAAGGAACTGAGAGAGATGTAGTACGGCGCAATGGCGAAAAAGTCTACCAAGTTCAGCACTTGTATTGCCTTGGCTTCCAAGGGATCAAACGCCAATTAAGCTTGAAGCCTGGGTCAGCCATCAGGCAACTTCGCAAAACTGCATATCTTGCATGCATTGCCTGTGCGGATGCCGGCAGGAAGCATACTTCCAAGTCATCTTTAATCGACTCACCTTAGAGCAGCGCTCGACAGATTGTCTTTCAAGTCTCGTCTCTCATCTTTACGCTTTGCACAGGACTGCGTAGTCCGTGTTCTGGGTGCCAGAACTTCTTTCTCCACCAATCCGATGTCTTGGGGTAGTGCACGGTGCACCTGAAACGAAATCCAGGATAATCTGCACACGTCTCTTCGAGTGAAGCTCTGTGTTCACCAGCTACGGAGCAGCTAAGCGAACCGCCAATGCAATTCGCATCACCTGAGGCAAGGAATTTTTGGGACTGCCCGTCTGAGAACGTGATCATCTCCATCCAGTCTGTGAACCCCAGGACATCCAAGAGTTCTTTCAGCACCATTCTCGTAAGCATGCACTGGGTTCTAAATAGATGCAGCCAGAAGAAATCAGAATGTCTTCGCCCGTGTTGACTGCCACATGATTCACTTCAGTGGAAGTCTTCCCTTGACTGAAGCATCTGCACGCCAACGAGGCACGTAGTCTATGGTGAAGACGATCATGCAAACGAGCTCCACATACTCAAACGCAGGGCCTGCCGCTCGCTTTCGATTCATGTTCGCAAACCAATCAACCACATGAATGCCACGCTGTGCATCCACGAGTTGTCTCCAACGTGGCAGAAGTAGAAGCCGCAACTTTGATGCAAGGCAAGTGACGAGGAACAGGACGGCAGCTTGCAACGGTTATCCTTGGCTGACACCACATTTCTTCCAATCCATCAGCGAAGGCGGTCGCAACAAGCAGATCTGAAGGATTGAACAAACGATATAAACATAAGAGTGCTGGTGTTGCCAAGATGGAGAACGCAGAAGGTGGCCGGTAGTCAAAGCCAAACCGACCGTGCAATTTCATTCAAAGCCGCTCTGGCCAGGGCTTGCACTCGGCGGGAGTAACATTGAATTCGGGCAGGGACTCGAGCAACATGGACACCTGGAGACAGGTCTGATGTGTCCGCCGCCACACGACAGCGGATCCCTCGTGTCAGGAGACTTGGTAGCGTGTGCTGCCGAGCAACCGTGGCGACCATGATCACTGCCGTAACGAACCAGGACACCTTGCAGCATGTTGCGGCCCATGCACAGCAGCGTGAAACTCTTTGTTAAGCAACTGCAGCCGTGACAACCCACAACAACCGACCAGCAACACTTCCACCGGGAGGCCACGTTGGATGCACGGCTTGATCCGGGATCGCTCATGATAAGGAATAGCCTCGGGCGGGATGCAGATCTGAAGTGCGAGTTGACTAGATACCGAGAGTCTGCATTGATAATCCTCTTTTCCGTGCTGGGGCACTGCCGACTCCATGAAACTTCTTCTTCCGGAAACCAGCGCGAACCCCGAGGTGGCTGCATCTGTTGAACCTGAGATGCTGCATTTCGACAAAGGCGTTGGGTTTCAGTTCTGCAGCATGCAGCGAAGTAAAGCATGAGGTAGTCAGCCACCATATCGGAGACTCTCCTCCCGTCTAGGAGTATAGAGCAGGACTTCTGATATTGAGACAAGATTCATGTGGCTCCAACCTCGGTCAGGGGCCAACAATCCAAGACTGCTTTCTGCACCGTCATTTTGCCATACCACAGATCGGGCTTGTAACAGACAAGGGCGCTACAGCCAAAAACTCACAAGTCTTGCTTCCGCTGTCCGGGAATGTCTGGGCAGGAGACTTTGTGGATCTCGTGGTGCTACTCCGAAGGTTCTCATGAAAGGACAGCCTCAGTGGATTTGCAAGGAAGGCCAGCCGAAGACGATGGGTGCAGACACTCCAAGTCGCCGGGGAGCCTTCGGCCTTGCGAATGAGACGATGCCTGTGAGTAAGCGTTCTCGAAGTTCGAACCTTGGGCCACAGGGGCTTGTTAAGTCTTAGGCTCTGCTGCTTGGCTTGCCAAGGACTTCCTGAGGTATCCGCTCAAGACTCCGATGGGCAGCGCCAAGAGGATCACCTGGGAAAATAGAGGGATCCGACAGAAGCCTCGGCCTGCCTCCCTCTTGAGGGGTCAGCATCATGAACCTAGCATCCTAGCTACTGCAGCACAAGTGGAGCACATCATGTTCAGCTGGTACTGCTGACTCGGGTGCTGCTCAGTGACTCCACAATAGAAGCACATAACACCGACAATCTTTCCTGACAGGGACAGGGATCTATAGAGCCACAGCAGCTCTGAGGCCTGAAATCTCTCGAATGGCGACTGGCGACTCATCGAGCACATGTAAGCATCCTCACTCGCAGCTGGCCTGGGAGCGTCGTGGGAACAATGTCACCGTAGCCTGCAGAAGTTCGCAAAGTACAGAGACGGAGACGTGGAGAGAGTGTTCAGCTCGCTCTTGCTTGGATCTTGCGTCCGTGCCACCCACAGTGGTCATTGTCGAGAAAGCCCACCAGAGAGCTATCGGTATCGAGCGAAAAGGCGTCTGAACTTCATGCTCACCCTGCCAAATTTGCAGCGAAATGTGGCACTGACAAACCAGACTCAGTGAAGCTGTGGGCGGTCCTGTGCATCGATGCGCACGAAGACCCCGGTGGGAAATGGCGCGGGCACCTCGAACACATGCAAATTTGCCAGACAAGCGTCAAGACTGGAAGTACAATGCTGCGACTTTCCAAGGCCATGCGGTGTGGCAAGGAAAATACGCAATTGAGCAGGCACCTAACCTCCCACATCGATTTCTGTGCTGGGGTTACATCTCAAGTTCCTAGAAGGCAAATTAGACACCCTAAGTAGCCTGGCCCGGGGATCTTCGTATTGCTGTGTTTCTTAGCCGGCGCGATGCAGCCAGAAGTATGCCATGTTTACCCAGAAATCCCAGTCCAGCCCAAGCTGCAGTATTGTTGAACATGTCCGTCCTGGGCTGTGTGAATTGTGGGGCGACCTGAGTGTTGACATCCGAATCGCAGACTGTGACTGGCGGTGAGCGCAAGCCAAGCCCGCCGCCGAGAACCGCTGCCCCTCAACGAAGAACATGACCTTGACACCACGGAATCCGGAAGCGGCTCGCTTCCCGTCGCAGACTGCGATGTATTCGGAGCTCAACAACGCAGCCGGCCAGGACACGCAGGCGAAAATGATGCCGACAATCACGTTGAAGAACCTGTTCCACAGATTGATCATGACTGTGGATGAGCGTGCCTTACAAAACTGCCAGGTGTCACGACTTGAGAGCCAGGCATAAGGATCGCCAAAGGAAACCCGCTTCTCATCATTGCTTCCAAGCAAAGCCTCATGCCTGTGGAACATTTCACTGAGGTTTCTCGGTTGACTGACTGACCAAATGGCTTTGCAGAGAAGGTTGAGCAAACGATGCCTCCATGGTGCTTGGCGAGCTTGAAAAGCCTGAGCACCTCGCCATGTGCATGAAGTCGAACAACTGAAAATGAATGACCACTTGCTGCAACGTAGCTGCGCGAAGGATCGCAGGCGGTAAGCTGAGGTTGCCGCCCGGGCCAGCCGAAGCACTCGTAGAGAGCTCACGGAATTTCCAATGATGAACCCCAAATAGAATGGGGCCACAGCCTCGGATCCCGAGAAACTTCCCCGTATAGGATGCCGCAGACTTGCATCTTCAAGACAAGTCACTAATAAGTCCACAATGTTCAAAGGCATCCTGAGCGCAACTGCGACTGCTAAACGGGGTCACCATCACCATCCCCCAGTTTGTCGGGTTCTCTCATGGAACAAACCAATCAGTAAAAACCGGCTCGTGAGAAGCTTACTGGCTTCTTATAGTCTTCCGGCCGTTCTTAAGGGTGTCGACGAACCGATAAATCAAGGCCGCGAAGAGTGGGGACCTACACAAACACGCATAGTAGCAGTTGCAGTGCAACTCAGAAAAGCACAGCACGTGCAGCAACTGCTTTGTTTTCTCCATCTTGGACTCACGACATGCCAGATGGAAAACCAGACAGCCTCAGCCCTCGACCGTGCGTAGTGCAACACGCGGAGGGTAGGAGTCTCACCCAGCACAGGCTCCGCATGACAAGTGAGCAAGCGAGCCTTAGACCAGTCATGATCAGGCACGTTGCAGCAAATCCATCCATATGCAGACAGATGCAGTCAAACGGAGGAGCGAGCTCCCGAAACAAACGGAACCAGCATCTCGCATCGGAAAGTCTGAGGCCGCCACAAGGTATTCGACAGTGAAGACAAGTATGCATGCCTTTGGTAAGACTAGGCTGGAGAGCAATCCACCCGGGCGGTCATGCAGCCACTCTCTGTGTCTCCCGCTGCGAAGTAAGTTTCTGCATCGGCACTCCAACAATGATTCTAATGCAGGTGAACCGCTGCTTCTCGACAGCGCCGAGAGCCGCAGAGGCTGGGCCGCTGGCCGGCTCGCAAGCTTCGACCGTCAGCGGCTCCCCGGCCGCGCGCAAAGCCTCGCAGAGATCCGGGCGCTTCGCAAAGGACTGCATCGACCTCAGCAGAGGAAACACCAGGCTTCGGTGGAAAGTGAAAGCAATTTCTTTCCGGGTGGCTCTAGTATGAAAGACGTAGTGCTCAGCAGGATCGTGGCCACCACAAAGGCGGAGATGACCTTGGACTCTTGACAGCCATGAATGTCAAGCTGGAGTTTCAATTACCGGCTCCCGTGCCTCCGGGAGATGAGTGCTTAGAGGAGCTACAGCTGTACTTTCCTGGGACAGGCTGCTTTGCCCATCAAAAAATTGTCCGGGTCGTCCAAGACCAGGAAGATGCACCTCGACACACAAACACACGCAGACACACGCGCACAACGACACATCAAAAAACACGCACATGCACACACATGTAGTGTATGTATACATATGTATGTATACATATGTAACATGTACACATATATGACTATGTAAAGTCTGCAGCAAAGTGAGAGGTGAAGGCGAAGCTGGCCTGCACCAGTGCATCTCGTTGGTGGAAGGCAACCAGCTCACCCTCTTCGAAGGTAAAGGCCTCAGCTTGCAAAAGGCCCGAGGATCACTCAGCAGCCGATGGCGCATCAGAGCGGCCTTGCCCTTTCCTTCTCTTGCATT